GCGTATTTCTTTTGGATATATAGCGTGGGTTGGAGTATTTGGATGTCTGGTGTCTCAGCTGTGCGAAGATGTTTTGATTTTACTCCCTTTGACAGGTTTGATCAAATCTTGTATATTTTTGAATGATTTTTCGAAAGGCGCTGAATGTCTGAATTGACCAGATGTTCTATCACTGAACTATATATACATTTTGTTCTTTTACTAGCCAAGCTGAATAGTGTTCTTTTTCTCAGTTTATTTTCTAAAATCTTAAATCGCTTTTGTACCATCTCACTGGACTTGTTATGTTAAGGTGTAAGATTCTCACAGATGATAGCTAGCTGTATTTGAATTCGTGTGAATACCCGCACCTTTTCTAAACTCTACTCACAGACTTCTAAAGACTCATCCTCCTTTGTGACGGAGTAGTCAAAAATATACATTATATGGGGAGTTACTTTTGTACTGATAAGAAATGGTCAAGATTAAATTAACGGAAAGTTTATTCTGACTTGTTTAATATTCAGATTGTATGAAACCAAGCAATTTCTAGTTATTTAATCTTTTCACCTTATTTAATCGTAACCCAAGATTAATGGAAAAATCAGTGAGTTGGCACTCAACAGTCGAGCAGAGAGTTAACAATAAACTGAACATTGATCCTCAACTCACGACTGGAACAAAACTCTCGGCTGGTGAAACAATACGAGGTGTACTGCTATGCCTAACCTCACCCCCCCCCTCACACACACGCACACTGTATTCAAATTTCACAATTCAATGCACAAATGAACAAACGCGGTGGTAATGCGATCACCAATATCCCCAATAATAATGGTAGACATGGTTTGGAGGAACATAAAGCTCTTCCCTTAGACCGTTTAATCCTGCTCCTAGGTTACAGTGGAGATATGTGGATGACACACCATCCCCATGTTGAAATCTTAACATACCTCTCGGTTCTTCACACATATACACTTGGTGATAGTCGGGATCCAATTCGTCTTTGAATTGGTGAACGAACAAGGTGAGTTGACCACACTAGACTGTAAACTGAAAGGATTAAAAGATGATTCGTTTCACACCATCATTTGTAAGAAACCGACTCATTCTAATAAATACTTAGACCTTAGGCCTTAATAGCACCACCACATAAGGAAGGAACGTTAGAAGACTTATGTGGGTTCCTTAATGAGGCTGGAATCAGGGTGAGGTAAATTACTTAGGTGAAACTGCTATATTGGTATCATTTAGATTATCAAAACATAGAAATTTAGTTAGACCTAGAATGATTGGCTCTAATAAGTTAAATAATTTAGAAAAATCCCGGCCAGTGAGTGCATTATACTAAAATACTTGGGATAATCTAATTGGGTGAAGAGAAAGGCTAATCACTGAATCATTGTTCACCGCATCAACGCCTTACAATAAATAAATGTTTCATACAACCGGTTCCCTTTATTAGTTTGAAGAGAGAAAGAACCAACATGTTCGCAGGATAATACGAGCTCGTTTTATTTCGTGGATACTCATCAACTGCATACATCCTAAACAAAATCAAATTATAAGTTTCAAAAATGTTTTGGAACATACTTTTTCATAATTACTTGGAGTTATAAATAGAAGGTATAAGAAACATAATTCCGGAATTTGATGTAGGTAGACAGATTATTCAGTGATTTTGTTTAGGATGTATGCAGTTGATGAGTATCCACGAAATAAAACGAGCTCGTATTATCCTGCGAACATGTTCGTTCTTTCTCTCTTCAAAATAAATGTTTCCTTCACGTTCCCAGTGGAACACATAGGGCTTCAAGTTAGTGGCTTGATGTTTCTGTAGCAGTGTTTATTTTTACAGGATGGAGTTGCTAGCCTCATGCCCAACCTTTCCTCTTTACTAGCATTATTTCTGGCTTAGCGAGCTTATGGAATGCGTCGGCCGGGGATCGAACCCCGGACCATGTGCATGGTCGGCGAGCATCCCAACCGCTGTGCCACTGACGCTACGCCTTTCAGGTGCAATCAAAATGACCTAGACTGGGTATATATATATATATATATATAGAAACGTATAATGCATAAAAATGTGAAGTGGTAATAAGCCTCTCATGAACAGATTGATATGGAATGTGCGGAATAGATTGTGTACTCAAACAGTTATCCAGCTATCAGTATACTGTATCATTGTGTTGTATAAAATATTCTTATGTGAAAGTATATTCTGCCACAGTGTCTAAATTATACACACATACAATGATACCCTACAAAGTTTGCAGAAGCTAGTCCTAACTGGCTTTATTATAATCTGTTGGTTTGATAGCCAACAGCTTCTAAGCATCTCCCTTGGCAGGATTGTGAATGTCCATTGTCAAAGGCTGCAAATCCAGAAAGAAAGAAGGAATAGATCTTTCAGCACCACTTGGTTTTTACAATTCTTGATATAAGTATAAAACTTGGGCACTGTGCTGGTATAATATAACTCCATTATGGATAAGATTTTATTTTGATAAGTCACACGGTGTTATAGAGTAATATTAACTGATGACCACGTTTCCAGCACAAACTACTGCCGCTCATAATCATATCAAGGCACTAGTCACACAACTTTTTTCCTTCATTTATATACATGTGTGGAATTGACTAGATATTTGAATAAAAATCAATATAGGATAATGTACATTCAGAAATAATAATATGAGTGTTATTCATCAATCACAATCAGATGGGAAATAAGACGACTGTTTTTATAATCATAATAAGTGACTTGTTAGAATGTTGTAATGTGCTTGAATTGAAACAGAATTTTGAGAGTATTTATTATCCCCCTGCGATTTGACCTGTGGTAATATTATCTTCCATGCATATCTTTGGTATTTACATTGAGTCATTTCTGTTGCGTGTCTTGTGTTGGGTGTAGACTCAATGAACCAGGCAGGGTTCAGTAATCAACCACCCCTCTCTTCACCTACCTATTTTACTTCTTAGAATTTTAACCCCCTCCCACTCTACTGTGTGGTTGTGTGTCAATATATGCAGTGCAACTGCTCAGTTTTTCTAAATTACGTATCTTCGTGGGATCAATCATTCTAACCGCAGCTAAATTCTTATGTTCTGGCAGGCAACCTCACTACTCCTGATCTACTACTCTGACCTGTGCAGTTGACCTCAATCACAGTTATTGCAAGGTATTTTTGTAAATTATATTATTTTGTCTAAATGCGTAAACCCACAGGGTCCTTTAACCTACAGAGTTTGTCCTATCTGAATGAGTTTGTAGGTTTAAATGCCACTCTAATTCCTGCCTTATTGAGAATCTTACGTAGGGTTTCAGATGTCCCCTCCTTATATGGTATAACAGTGGATGACTTGTATTCTCTCTTATCTATGTTATCATTATTAGTTTCACCATTATTTTTAATTTGCTTTTGGCCTTTTCTCACCTTCCTAATGAATTTTATAGGATAGTTATTCAACACCATCGCCTCTTCTATCTGTTTTATTTCGTCATTTAGGTCTATTTCTTGTACTACTTAGTGCTATGGCTCGGTTTGTTAGACACTTCACTAAGCCTGCCTTAACAGTTGACGGATGAGATGAGTTAAAGTCTAAATATCTATTAGAATGTGTTGGCTTTTCTGTACACACTAGTGTGTAGTTTACCTTCTTCTATTCGCTTTATTTTGCAATCTAACATCATAGCTAATTCTCCTTGTTCATTTTCCGATTCAAATGTGAATTTTATCCCCTCCACTGGTGAGTTTATGTGTGTCAAGAAGCTAGAGACGTGTTCTGTTTTTAACACTGTGAACGAGTCATCCACATATCTACACCATATTTTTGGAGTAGGATTAAATGTATTAGGAGCAGTTTTTTCCCAGCTGTCCATGAATATGTCTGCTACGATAGGGGATATTGGTGATCCCATTGCTACACCTTCTGTTTGTCTATATATTTTGCCTTGGAATTTAAAGATAGTAGATGTGAGGCATAACTGAATTCCTAAAATAATTTCTTCGATGGTTAGTTTCGTCCTATAAGGTAGTTCAGGGTCTGAAGTTATTTTTTTTAACTGCTTCTAAGGCCATATTGATTGGTATATTAGTATAAAGACTAGTTATATCAAAACTAACCATTGTTTCATCATTCGCTAGTTGAATGTCATTTAGTTTATTTTTCATCTCATATGAATTAGTTAGTCTAGAGTTTGGACGATTTCAAATGGGGCATAATATTAGAGCTAAGTGTTTTGATAATTCATAAGTAGGGGTATTTCTAAAATCTACTATTGATCGTATGGGGTAACCTGGCTTACGTACTTTAATAGTAGCTTACACTCTACTAGCATTATTAGTTTTAGGCATTAATAGGCATGAATGGTTTTACAAGTTGTCGAATTTATGTTAGCTCATAAGGAAACTCATCTTGAAATTAATGAAAGTAGCTTAAATCTTACAACCTGTTAACTTCTTCTTGTCGTAATAAATCTTGTAGTGACAGTTTGAATAATATTCCCTTGATTGAAAGATTTTGTCATCTTCTGGAAAGATGACTACAGGAAATAACCAACATTCATTTAGATAAGAATTTTGTATTTGTTATGTCTCACAAAAACTAGTATTATCAGCATGGACCTAGTATGTTTTTTTTGTAGTTTCCATTATCAATGGACTGATAGAGTGTTGCCTTTTAAGCTATTGGTGTTTTGTAAACAAAGAATATTGTGGAACATGTACTAAATAAACAAATTAGAAAAATAATGTTTATTATCATGTTTATTTATTCTCATATGTTTATAAGTATGTACTTAGAAGGAATCACTCAACCAAGATAGTGCTTAGACTATCGATTCACACATAAATATCCGTCTGTATGCGTGTACATGTTTGTTTGCCTGCCTTTCTTATCATTACCACTCATAATTTCTAATCTAAATTGTTATTTTTTTCTATCGAAGCTAAAAGTCTATAAAAGGAGAAGCCTTCTTTTGTAGGTAAATTTCCAACTGCTTTCCTCAAAACACCATGATGAAATTGGCTCTTTTCTACTTGGTTGCATGTGTTTTCTGTCATCTGCAGATAGTTTCATGTAAGTGAATGAAGATTTTACACTTTATATCATTGTACTATATATATGTGCCGGTCTAAAAGCTAATTACTGTCTTTTAGTTACCTGATAATTTTGCCGACAAATTGATATTATTTAGAAAACCGTTGAAAACCACCAAGGAGTTCTGAACAGCGGTTGCAAATCAAAGACCTTTCGGTTACAAGGCGAACTTGTAGACGATTCAGCCATTGGGACACGTTCCTTCAATGACCAATACATGAATTCTAACTTCTATTAATTCGAGATATAAGCGCGACTGGCGCTGGCCAGTGTCATCGGCTTTTGGACCACACTGGTCATGACTTCTCACTCGAGGTGAAATCTAATTCCCACAGAGAAAGTCATAAAAATTTCCTTCATTTGTTTGCTATGCTTATGAAGTTTAACAATACATTTCCATCATAAAATGGAATAGTAATGGTAGTAGTAGCCAAAAACAGGAGACTTAGTATTGTCCTTTGCAAATTCTAACACAAGCTGTTTTCAGTATACCTTCTAAAGTGCTTACTTTACGCAAATGTGTAAGTAGGTAGGCAGTTAAGCTTTAAATTTTTCATAGAAACCTCAAATAATATAAGTGGTGAAGTGCTAAGAGATCTTCCCAGTTCCAATTTCTTAGTAATATATATTAAGAGACGTCAAAAGTGGCAAAATTAACTAATGCATTAGCTAAAGTCAACAGATTTTTACACGCAGATGATTTTGATGAAAAAAAATCTATACAGTCTCTGCAAATGTACCAAGCACTGTGGAAAAGAAGATTTTACACCTCTGAAGGCCTTTGGTCATGATTATTTGAATGTTAAAATAAGCATTCTTTCTAGGACCATGTGGAAACTTCTTCTTACTATTGCATGAAGACTTCAGCATACACTGTCTACTACTACTCTGCAGATACTACAAGCTCCCAACTGTAGATTTCGCTCATTCGGAATCATATTAAGCATAAGAAATGTACCTTTTAAGTATTGATTTTGTGGGAATTTTATTTGATTGGTTGGTTGGAGGATTTCATCATGAGCTGACATCAGTTAGAGAACCAATGGAAAATCAGCCAGAGGTAGTACTGGACAACTGTTCCCCACGTCCTCCTTTGAGACTCTTCAGAAGCACGTACCCAACACCAGGAGTCGAACTCAGGACCTTCCGGTTACAAGGCTAGCGAGCTGATAGACCACTAAGCCCGATGAAATGGCCAGTCCATGAACTCTAAGTTCTGTTAATTCTTGACTTAGCACGACCACTTCGCGATGTCTTCTTTGATGAGTTACTGCCTTACCTTCAACCTGTTGTACGCTACTGGTCATAGCTTTCCACTAGAACCCCAGTTTAACTGCCTGAATACAGGCAGTCGCTAGTGAGCATCTGATTAATTTTTAAATATTGGTTTTGTAGGGATTTTAGTTGATTGATTGGAAGATATTATCATGACCTTTGTAACTTTGTATAGCCATGTGTAAGGTTTATGCCGTTCACTTTAATCAGTATATGACTAATGTTAAATAACATTGTCTTTTTTTCATTTTCTAATGTTCAGGTAACAGAAGACGTAAGTTATAACTTTTAAAATATTAAATTTTATTTATTTAATAATACAGTATTATGCACTGTTGATGCATACGACACGTTACAGACTAGGTGGTTTTGAAGGCATTTGAGAAGTGAAGTATTACGCTGTGTAAATACATCATACTTCTGCATGTCTGTAGCATTTTTATAAACGGGTTTAACGTGATGACAGAATACAAGCAGCGTATGGTTGACAGCAATTAAATACACGTAGAGTTTAACAGTATTACTTGTTCAACATTAAACAATAGCAACTACAGACCTTATTCTACCAAATGGTGAAGTTAACATCTCTGATTAAACCATCCGACAAGTTGAAGATAAAGACATTTTTTTCTAAACTAACATTTATCTAGATGATTATTCGAAAATGTCTAAGTTAAACATGCATTTGGTTTTCATTTTGTGTCCGATTGAAGTCTCAATCTACTATGACATCTGTAAACATTGTTTGTTACTTGGCATTATTTTCAACTCCAATGTGACGTCAGTCAGTGCTACTACACAGATCAGAGACTTAGCGCCTCGGCATTTCAAAGAAATTATAGACATTCATTAACAGCTGTCTTCAATCATTACTACTCAAGATCAGATGGTCAGCCAGAAAAGATCAGAAACAGGTAGGGATTTCTGACAATGATCAAATCAACCCAGCAGAAACCAATTGTGCAACAAATATGCATGCAGGAAGAAATGGAGGTGAATTGGCTAATCATACTCTGAGAAAACAAACCATCAAAACAGTGACATAACACACCAGGCCATTGCTCGAATGGAAGCCGAATGGGAAGTGGTGAATTAGTTGATCGTCAGTTAGAGAGTGACATTAAGGAGGCCATGTGAAGAGGAAATGAAAACATGTGAGTAGATATGGAGCCAGGTGATAAAAACGTTGGTGGAGAACTGAATGCAACGGAGACGTGCGCGGCTTAAAGTCTCACAGTGGTGTTATATAGTAATATTTACTGATGATCTTATTACAAGCACAAATTGTCACTGATCATAATCATATCAAGGTCCTCAGACAACTTTTTACTTTTTTTAAATACATGTGTGGAGTCGATTAGATAATGGAATAAAAAGCACAAGAAAAGACCTAAATGACTAAATAAAACAGATAGAAGAGGCCTTGGTGCTAAGTAACTATCCTATAAGATTCATTAGGAAGATCAGAAAAGGCAAAAAGCAAAAAAAAATAATGTGAAACTAATAGTGACAACATAAACAAGAAAGAATATAAGGCATCTAAAGTTATACTCTATACTGTACATCTGAAACCCTACGTAGTAATGATAACATAAATAAGAGAGAATATAAGTCACCTACTGTTATACCATATAACTAGGGGACATCTGAAGCTCTACGAAGGATTCCTAACAAAGCAGGAATCAGGGTGGTATTCACACCTACAAACTCACTCAGAGACAAGCTCTCTAGGCTAAAGGAACCTGGTAACCCAATTAAACGAAATAATACAATTTACAAAATACCTTACAATGACTCTGATTGAGGTCAACTACACAGGTCAAACTTGTAGATCAGAAGTGGTGAGGTTGCCTGTCAGAGCATAAGAATTTAGCTGGGGTTAGAATGATTGATCCCACGAAGATACGTAATTTAGAAAAAACTCAGCAGTTGCACTGCATATATTGACACACAACCACACAGTAGAGTGGGAGGGGGTTAAAATTCTAAGAAGTAAAATAGGTAGGTGAAGAGAGGGGTGGTTGATAACTGAATCCTGCCTAGTTCATCGAGTCTAAACGCAACACGTGCAATAGGATGCAATGACCCATCACTCAAAGTGTAAATATGGAAAATTCTACTACCAATCAAATCAAGCGATGAAAAATAATGGAATTATATAAACGAAGCTAGAAAGTTGTGTGATGAGTAGTGACTTGATATGAATACGAGCAGTGATAAATTGTGCTCGAAACGTGGTCATCAGTAAATATTACTGTACAATAAACACTGTGAGACTTTATCTAAATAAAATCTTATCTAAAAAGCAGACTCCAAATACCCCACTTTGCTTATTCTTATAAAGATTAGACTTAAGAATTATGGTTAACATTTGTGAAAAGTGTATTGTGTAATTTACCAAGTATGTGAGTAGTACAAGATTGCTGTCTCGTTTCTCATTTTACACTGTTTAGGTCCTGATACAAGTAAGTTATCATAAGAAAAACTACAATGCGCAATTCTGGCACATACTACCAGTAAAAAGGCAAAAATTTCAAAGACATTTGGAAGTGTTGTACTTCACAGTGTATTCAGAAAGTCAATCACTATTTCACTATCTCGACAACTTAATTATATATATACTGCGTAAATATATCATGACTACGTCTGCTTGTGAGTAGTGCTTGTGTATCCGTGATTCATTCGGTGACGAATTTCACTGAGCATCGTTAACTCACAGTAACTTGGGGAATATTGAAATACACATTAACAGTTCAACAGCATCACTTATCGATTTTTCAGCAGTCGAAACTATAGACCACATCATCATTCTAGATGATAACGGCAATATCATCACTGACAAGACCATTGAACAGGTTACAGATGAAAAATCTCTGAATGATTCTCTCAAATCTTTTTTTCATTTTGTCTAGTCTACTACGCGATTTGTAGGCACAGCATTACCTTTCGTTATCTAGTTCGACTTTATTGTAGTTATATTAGTTGTTGATGCGGTTGTGTTCTCTAAGCCGGTGGATAGTGGTTTGTTGGTGAAGCTTTCATAGCCCGTCCTGCTAGGCAACATCGCTTCAACGCATACTTCAATTTGTTGAAGTGAGGTTTTAGATTTCTCCACGAGTGGTTTATTAGTCATCTCTCCTGGTGAGTGGTGACCTTAAAGATCGCGATTGGTTGTTTTTGTGGGATTTCACACCCTCTAGGCTACTTGTATTGGAATTGATTGTTTCTTTGACTTGAACTTCAACCCTTTGTGTGTGGAATTTCATCCTTATCGATTAGTAGACTTGTCTATCCCCATGTGTCTATTGACTGACGATTCACTGGAATGCCAAGCTTCTAAAAATTCACTCTCTCCCTTAAAAGTCTGGTATTCCGGTGAATCATCAGTCAAAGAAGATAAAACCAAAATCATCTACAAAATAAATTGTAACAACTGCGAAAGACACTACATTGGTCAAAGTGAATGTCCCCTTCGTCTTCTTATCCATGAATATAAGCTAACCACCAAAAGACGTAACATCCACTCCCTCATATCACTACATACATGCAACTATGGACATCAATTCGACTGGGACAAACAGCGTTCAAATATTAGACAAAGGAAGCATTAGGAATGCTAGAGAATATTTTGTCATACTTGGAACTCGTTAACTGGATACATTTACATCCTGAACAAGTGACCCAGTAGCCTCTGGGATAATGTTTAACGTTTAAAATGGTAGGTGCTCGGTTCAACTCTCATTAGGAATACAGTTACGTTCAGATGAGTCCGAAACAGGTGTACTTCAACTTCTTCAACGAGTTACATATCTCCTCAAAATGAAGATACATTTGAATGCTTAAGGTAGAAGACATGGTTTTCATATCCTTGACATTTTCTCTCTTATTTTAGGAGTTATTCGTATTTCACATACATGCGACTTGTTTAATGCTCTACAGCAGACCTACAAGAAACTGTTTCCATAATAGTTTTCTTTCCCTCATCTAAACAATGGTAGAGGCGTTGGCAATCAAAATCATTATCCAAAAGGTAGTCAATCACTCACTATGCGACACTATTTATGACGCTTGATAGTTATTTAGTTCGAAAGCATTATAAATATTTTCACTCAGCAATTATCAAAGCAATAAGATGTTCTATTGTCTATCCGTAACCATTTCTTTCACTCTAGGTGTGAAGGAGCACGGAAGTGAGTTTTAAACAATACCTGAGCTTGTTTCCATGAATGAAAAAACATTTATTGATTCTAAAGTCATAATGTTCCATTTTTGATCATTTTATCGAACAGTTTCTATATTCATCTGAAATCACTAGAATATTCCTGGGTACGGAAACAATCTACTCAGCATAACAAATACCCAAGGGAACAACTGGATGACAACAATCCTATGAACTGAAGAAGTATTTGAAAACTACAGTCAGTTTATCCATTTCACTGAGATAGACTAAACCTAGGTATGTGATAAACTGCAACTCAGGATTAGTTTCTCGACTCCTAACATTTCATCATATGACCAAGTGAGTTGATCAGAACTCACTACTTATAGAGTTATTCATGAGGTTTTGTCTTATGCTACAATTATGTCTGCTAGATTTATCTTAGAACAGATTTAAGCTCTTCTTCAAAAAACAACTTTATTTGCTGCATGGGAAATAATCATGCACAGCTGTTTCTTCTTTTATTCCTTAACGTTTCCAGTGCTAGAACACAGGGCTTCAGGCTAGAGCCAGCTTGAAGTTTCTCTGGCAGTGGTGCTTATTTTAACGGGATGGGGTCGCTAGCCTCACGCCCTTCAAGCTTCCCTCTTTACGAGTCGTATTACTGGTTTAGCAAAGTAAAGGATTGTGTCACCGGGGATTCAATCCCGAATCAAATGCGTGGTTGGTGAGCGTTCTACCACCGATTGGAATCTTCATTGTTTAACAAAAAAAATTTATTCACTGCAGTTCTGTGCTTGAAATTATGATACTTGATCTCGTCATGGTATTTTCTAAACAAATTGTTATTTTTCACTATTCCTAATAAAGGTGTACCGAAAGGATTCGGTGAGCTCTTATAGTTTCATATTTCATTGTTGGAATATTCACTATAATTAATTCACTCCTGAATGTGGCTACCGCAGGTGTTCGGTTTGAATACCATTTGAGTCAAGTAGAAAAATCACGATCATCTACAATATTCTCAGTCAAACCTACATTGTTTTCAGCAGGCAATGAAGTAACACAACCTGCTGAGATGTGCGCCACTTTTGCTGAATATAGCCAAAATAGTAAATGCATGCAAAAACAAATTAGCCACTTTCATTGTTTGTACTTGCAGGAAAAAGTTTAAACCAACTAGATGGGATAGTTATATAGTTCAGAATATATTATATTCGTGCTCAACAATTTCCATTACTGACTAGAATAGTGTGTCTGAATCCATAAATTCCGCCATTACCAACAGTACTCACTATGCACTTACTCATGTGTGACTGATTTTATTTCTCATTATATAAATTCTGATAGGACACAAGTTTGTTCACAGGCTGACATAAGTAACAGAACCATTAGGAAATCAAGGAGTATTGATTAGCACTTCTGTCTACATTTTGTGACTCTTCAGTGGTATGCACCTACTGGGGTTCGACGCCAGGACCTTCTGGTTACCCGTCAAGCTCGTAGACTAATCAGTCACTGGAAACATATCCAGTAACCAATGAATTCTAACATCCAATATATATATCAGATACACAAATCAAGAAATATACCTGAGTACCTTTCATCTCAGAAGTAAAGGTTATAAATCTATACTATGTGGGACTAAATGACACCATTCAAAGGCTCACTTAATTCTTCCTTAAATCGAAATTTTACGTGGGTGAGTAAAGGCATTGAATAAATAACTAGCCCTGAAGGGGGTTTAAATTTTCACTATCAGTAATGTTCTTGGTAAGTTGCTGTCAGTCTGGTGCAATCAGCCCTCTCTGTCCGGCTTAAAACCGCTAGATGGGGAGGGGGTGAAAGTGTGTGCTCCGGCCGGGAATCTATCTCCAAGACATGTATGGTTGGCAAGCATTCTACAGCTGAACCGCCGACACACATCGACCAATAGAAGTAAGCTGATATTTACGTGCTGTTTTTTTTCAAAATTTTATTGCGACAGGTGACAGTAGAGGTAAGTCAAATTGATAACACTAAAAAACGTTTTTCAACGGAAAAGAAACGTTTCCCACTGTGCTTCTGGATATTTTGTAAAATATCTTTAATAGTATAAAGCTTATTAGTACAGTAGCTGCTCCAAGAACTAATGGAAACATACAGTAGTTTTTATGAATAGCAAATTTATTTAAAACAGATGTGAAAATTTCTCTCCTTTTGTGTGATAATACTGATAACAGTTGTGCATAATCAAGGCTTGCGTGAAGTAAATAAGACCAATTTATTCAGTATTAATTAGTCAGCGTCGGTGGTACAGCGGTTAGGGCGCTCGCCGACCATGCACATGGTCCGAGATTCGATCCCCAGCCACAGATGCACTCCTTTACCTCACTAAGCCAGAAAAAATGCTGGTAAAGAGGAAAGGTTGGGCATGAGGCTAGCAACCCCATCCACTAAAAATTAAACATTGCTACAGAAACTTCAAGCCACTAGCTTGAAGCCCAATGTTCCACTGCGGAACGTGAAGGAAACAATATAATTGGTCAGCTATTCGGCCGTATTTTGATACAGTTGCAGAGTACGCTTAGCAAGTTGCATCCATACGATATGAGCCACTGACACCAGCGATCCCTAATGTCCAAGTGTGGAAAATAATTCCAATGTGCCCAAACGTTTCTGAGTATTTTGCGGTCACATAACCTGTCGAGGTTGAAATTTAACAAAGTCGAAGTTTCACTGATTGTTATTAAAAATTTACGATGTTACAAATAAGAATTGTTTTAGATTATGATCTGTTGTTTTACACCTGAAGGCATTCTCATAAAAGCCATAAATACATTCATGATTCCTTCCACGTCTATATGACACTTCGACAGTGGTAATAAGGCGTTGTTTATCTGCAAATCGTACTGCCTTGGTGTATCATATTTTGAACACGTACATGTCATACATGCTTTTCCAAAAACTTAATAGATTTCAAAAGTGGAATCTTTCGGGTAAAAACATTAACTCAAACCTTCAAAACACAGATATAAGGCCTAGTGGGATGTGAAACCATCCCTTAGACGCATTCTAAGATAAGTCTGGGCCGTTTGCTACTTCAGTTTGTCAAGATCCTAGCTATAAAATGACTAAAACAGATTTTGTGCGTTCAGAAGTTCTTCATCATCACATCCAAACCCCCTCACTTGGTAATTAATTTGTAAAATCAAGGGTTATTGCATTTGTGATTTGGAATCCTAAAGGTAGCATCTTCATTAGGCAGATTTCATTTCTGACCTTCTGTGCTGTGTTGGGTTTTACGTAAATATCTCTATGGCAAATAAAAGCCTTTTAACAGCGTCGATCGAGAGTTGATTTCGAAACTACTTCGCTACTACGGACTGCCGCCAACAGTTATACATCTCATCCAACAGTTATACAATAATGTTGCATGCCAAGTCGTCCACAATGGGGAACTCACAGAATCATTCGGAGTCGAAACGTTAGTAGGACAAAGCCAGCTTGCTCCCTACTATCTCCAGTGATTTTATTGATTGCTATAGACTGGAGAGTGTGATAGAGAGCGGGCAGCGAGGAGACAGGCATAACAAGGATTTATACAAAACCTTAAAGGATATGCATTTCTCCGGTGATATATGTTTGATTTCCTACACACTGGAAGATATGCAAGTGAAAAGAGACAAGTAGGCAGAAGAACCATAAAAGATAACAAGGATTTCAGGTGAAAATAGAGGGAACAGAGGTGATGGAGATTTCTGGCCAACAGAAACAGAAACAACAACAGATAACAGTCAGCATAAATGAGAGAAATCTGAAAGGAACAACCTCCACTATCTACCTACCTGGGAAGCATCGCTTCAATTACATGCGGAACTGATGACTTGGAGGAGGTCATGAAAAGAGGAGATGAAATCATGTCATTAAACATGGACCTAGGTGAAAACGCTGGCAGAGAACCAAACGCATTGGAGATGCACGGCTCAAGCACTTTGTTCCTCTAGGAACTTAAGGAATAAATAATAATATAATAATAAGTAGAAGTCTTGTCAGAATGTTAGAAATGTGTTGCACCAAGACGTTAGATTTCACAGATAAATCACATATTCCTACAGTATTGGTCTAATTCACCAAGGGAATCAATTGCACTGAAGTCTCTGAAGATGGAGACTCCTCTCTTGTAATCATCCGTGCTTCATGTAGTCAGCATTAGCATACATATGCTTCACTTCTATTAATGACAGAAAAATTTCTCTTGAATATAATTTCAGTCAACATGATTTAAAGAAAATAGCCTTAATAGTTTTCGTACGCATTGGTTAGAGTCAGGGAAATATAAAATGACATTTCAGTCACACTTGATGAACCCTCTGACTGAGAGACCTATCCTTCAAAGAAGATTAATACTTGCCTATGAATTTAAAACTTCATTTTTATTTTTACTAAATCCTTTTCAAATTGTGCTGGTAAATTACAGATAGGGGACAAAAAGGTGAGTAAATTGTAACATGTACAGATATTTTGTGATCAACTAAGTTCCTAAGATCAGTTTTGCAGTCAGTGTTTTCTGGAGTTCTTTTATCCAGTTTCTGTAAAATAGTGTTTTAAGTTTCAAAGAATCGTTTAAAGGACTTCGTATGATTGCCTCCTTGAAAAACTTCACTACTCATGGTGTATTCAACGGGAATTATCAAGTCTGCAGGTGAATTCATCAACCAACTTGTATGTCGAGAAGCTTATGGAATAATAAGAAGTGTGTAATGGTAGTAGCCGGTATGTGGTTGCATGTTAACGCATCTTCGTTATAAAGTAGGGAATATTTTAATATACTGAATTTTATCATCATTATTATTCCCTTGAGTTCCGAGTCAAACATTCAAACTTTGATGCTGTGCGGGTAATTCCGATGATTCCCAAACCAGGATAAAACAGCTGTCCAGTACTCCCTGAGCTGGTTTTCAATGGTTCTATGACAGATATCAATCCGTGATCATATCGTAGGAATATACAACCTTAGCCTTAGATTTTATGAGGTACAGTAAGCACCATCGAAGTTACTGAAAGACTTGTGCTTATACTTCACGAAACTGTCCTGAATCTTACTCAAAATGTGGTATTTCCCAATACCGCCAAACCTGGCACTTTCAGTGGTGATCGATCTGAAATAGCTTATCAAGTTGGGGAAAACGTGTATCAGTTTGGTGTACAGACATAAATTTTAAACCATGTTTCAATAAAAAACTTTATTTGCAGATATAACTGGTAAGCTTAGCAAGTTGCTTAATAAGGAACTTTTAGCCAAACGATAATTCACCCAATTTTCAAATGTTATCCTGCATGAATGTTTTCCACATCACGTATCTTCTCGACACGTTTTAGTGGGAAACTTCCTCAATGAAGTCTAAATTTACTAGATGAGTTATGTCAGCATAATTTAGGATATTTACAAACAGTAAAATGTATCAATTGAAGTGGATGTATTTCTCTGACTGATGTCATTTCAAGAAGCAACACAGGAGAAGCCATTTTAGACAATTCAGATGGAGAACTATCTTTAGGAAATGTGTACCAATCCATTTCTTTGACTTCTCAACAGTCGAATAGACAATATTACCTTCGATCTATATTTTCATCATGACAACATAACTATTAGGCTGTTTTTAATACCTTAGAATACCCTGAACACCAGATGGTGTTTCACTTTGTCCACTGAACACTAATGTTCTACATTTGAACAGTCTTTGAGTAAAGATGCTGTAATCTATGATCATTTTGTCACTGTGTGAGTAATTATCTCGAACGGGAAAGATGATTTTAATTAGATTTAAAATAGAAAAGGAAGAGATTCAAGTGTGTGTTAAGAATTTTCTGTGAATACACTGACTTTCTTTAAGAAATAAACTCGCTAGTAATGTGACATACTGTCGGTGGCGCGGCGATAGAATGCTCGTCAACCACATATGTGGTCCGGGTTTCGATCCCCAGCCGACAAGGCACACTTTTACCTCGCTAAGCCAGAAGTAAGGCTGATAAAGAGGAAAGGCTAGACATTAGGCTAGCAACCCCATCCCACTGCTACGAAAACTTCAAGCTGGCTCTAGCTTGAAGCTCTATGTTCAACTGCGAATGTAAAGGATTGAAAAAAGTATCGTGATATACCACAACAGTGTTTATGTCCTTTATTCTGTCATATTTACAGATCTCTTTGCTATCAATGTGAAAATTTCTTACTAGCTTGAAAATTCTCATTGAATCATATGAAAAAGAGAGAAGTCGTTCAGCGAAGAGACACATTTCGCCGGCGAATTCATTCAAATAGCTGTACAACCGCATTTATATATAATTATTTGTACGTGTGTGTGCGTACATGAGGTTTGTCAGGTTGGGATAATTAATTAGCTAATACAAGAATGATCTAATATGGAAACAAGGTTAATCAGACAGCACCTAAAGTACGATTGAGTTAGTAAGTTGGATGTCACAACTTAGATCAGGATAACAACAGAGGTGATTACAGGTAGGAACTAAATAGAGGTGGGATAGAGAATAATGTCATTTAAATTAGGACTAATATTGAGCAAACAAATTGGATGGCGTAACATAAATGACTAGATATCGAGCTTTGGTCAAGTCAGTAACAGTGGTAATGAAGCGTAGAAATTAAATCGCGTCGGGGTAGAGAACAGGAAAGTTGAAAATGTAGAATATTACAACTGTAAAGACAAAATAATTCGAATAAAACGACATTTTGCATGGTATGTTCATGTAGCTAAATTAAAATATTCCAGACACGTCAGTGTAAAACTACAAGTCCTAGTATACTTCTGGAGTAAATGACAGTAAAGGCGACGAAACAATAACTGACTTCAGAAAGTGTATGACGGATAACAAGCATAACATGACGGTATTCCATAATGAACTTTACACTCAGCGATTCACTTATTCATCTATGGAAAATGTTTTTACATTACATTTAAATTTTGTGAGATGTCGCACTAAGATGAGTTCTTTTCAAATGTTTATTTTGTCGAACATACTAAAGATTTACTCAGTAAGTTCGTCTAAGTTTTAATTATATTTTCAAGTATTGGTTCTGTAGGGATTTAGTTTGATTGGACGGGGATTTCATCATGAGCTGACATCAGTTGAAGAACCATTGGAAAACCAGCCACGGAATACTGGACAGCTGTTCCCCCATCTTAGTCCTCCTAAACTCTTCAACAGTACGCACCCACCACCAGAATCTGAACCCAGGACCTTGTGGTTACAAGGAGACCTAGCTCGTAGACCACTGAGCCACTAGGACCTGATCCAATGGCAGTAACTCATCGAATAAAACATTTCGAAGTGATCGCGATACATTGTGAATTGGCAGAAGTTAGAATTCATGAGCCATTGGATCGGGCCTCAGTGAATGGCTTAATGGTCTACGAGCTCGCCTTCTTACCAGAGGGTTCTGAGTTCGACCCCTAGTGATGAATGCGTACTCCTGGAGAGTCCCAGTACTCCCAGGTTCTTCAGTGGTTACCTAACTGATTTCAACTTATGATGAAATCCTCCATTTTAATTTTATCCTTTTTAAACAAAATACATTACTTCTTTGGTAGATATAATTTGAGGTGCTGATGAAATCAATTAGGTTTTTCACGTAATAACAACAAACGGGCCAGCAGAAAATTGTTCCAGCCCATTTCGTCTGTATCTTGTCAACTTCTGACGAACTGAACGATGAAAACTGACAGTATTATCGAAAATTTAAAACACGTCAGTTCAGTAGAGAAGTAGATTTCAATCAATGAATGATGTACAATCACCATAATCGAGAAGCTAAATCCCATAAAGTACTTTCAAATACTGCAATTCTACATGTGTTTCAGTGGTTCGATGAAAAAATGCCTGTCAACCACACATATAGTCCTGCTTTGATTCCCGGCTGACTCACAGATGGGAAAAGACTGAACGTTACAGCAACCTCATCCTTTGAAAAGACAAGATCACTGCTCAAGCCCAAAGCCCCATATTCCACTCGGAATGCACAGGAGTGATAAATATATATATGTATATGCATTACAATCAGAATCCCTGCCAAATCTCGCGGCAGTTTCAGCATACCAACTAGCTTACAAATAACTGTCGATCTGTGTACGAAATGTTGCAATTCAAATGGACCTAAGGTAGTATCTAACGTCTTTTTTTCACTTTCCTAGATCCATTTGGTAAGTTTCCTTCATAATTTTTGAAGGATTTATCACGAAGACTGATCATTGCACAAACTAAATTAATAATGATGATAATAGCTCTATTCTGGATAGTGTAACTAAGTTATCAATGTATAAGTTTGACACGAGTTGATATCAGTTAGAGGACTGTTGAAACCATCAAGGGGGAGTCCTGCACATCGGTTACGAACCCAAGACTTTCCAGTTACAAGGCGAACTCGTGAACCATTTAGCCATTGGGACACGATGAAGTATAACAATACATTTCCATCATCAAATGAAATAGTATTGGTAGTGGAAGTTTGTAGGCAATAAAAACCACCAATTAGCCAAAAACAGGGGACTTAGTATTGTACTTTTCAAACTCTAACACAAGTTGTATTTAGTATACCTTCTAAAGTGCTTACTTTATTCTAATCTGTAGTAGGTAGGCAATTAAGCCTTTAAATCTTTAGAGAAACCTGCAAATAAACATTTGGTGAAATGCTAAGGGATCTTCTGACTTCCAGTTACTGAGTAATATATATAAAAAGACGTCAAAAGTAGCGAAATTACATAATGCATTAGTTAAAGTCAAGAGATTTTTACACACAGATTTTGATAAAAGAAAGTCTATACAGTCTCCACAAATGTACCAAGCATTATGAAAAGGAAGATTTTACACCTCTGAAGGCCTTCAGTTGTGATTATTTGAATGTTAAAATAAGAATTTTTCTAGAACCATGTGAAAAATTCTTCTTACTATTGCATGAAACTTCTAGCATACGTCGTCTACTATTACTCTGTAGATACAGCAAGATTTCAACTTTGGATTTTGCACATTCTGGTTAATATGAAGCATGAGAGTTATACTTTTGTGTAAGTATGTGTAAGATTTATGCCCTTTAACTTTGACTAGTATATGACTAATGTAAAACAACATTGCCTTTTTCATTTTCTAATGTTCAGCTAGCGGACGAGGTAAATTAGCATAAAAACATTAAAGGGTATTTATTTCTTTTTTGATACAATGACATGTACTGTTGATACATATAAGATGTTTCTGACCAGGAATTTTCAAGACATCTGAAAATTTTGTTCTTTTGAATGCATTCCAAAAACCAATCATTATTTGAATGTCTTGATAAGTTAAGTATTATGTCACATAAATATATCTTGTTTACTTCTCCATGAATGTAGCGCCTGTATAAATGGGTGTCATGTGGTGGCAAAATCGAAAGAGTACACATTGGACTACATTTAAATATATGTGAACAGTTTAACAATAGTACTTAACGGTTTAAGTGCGTCGGTGGCACACCGATTAGGACGCTCGCCAATCATGCACATGGTGCAGGGTTCTATCCCCGGCCACAGACGCACTCGCAAACCTTGCTAAGCCAGAAATAAAGCTGGTAAGGAGAAAAGGTTGAGCATGAGGCTAGCAACCCCAATCTGTAAAAATAAACACTGCTACAGAAAATGCAACTCCTATGTTCGACTGAGAACGTAAGGGAATTAATAATAATAAAATACTTATTGGTTATAAAGTAGTAGCCACTACGGTCCTTATTTTACGAACTCATGAAGACAATATCTCTGACTAAACAATCTCACAAGCTGTAGATGAAAATTGTTTTAGAAAAACTGATATCTGTCTGGATGATTTTACTGAAATTGTCAAAGTTAAACCTGCATTCGTTTTCATTTTGTGCCCGTTTGAAGTCTCAGTCTGTTATGCGATCTGTAAATAGCACACATGTCATTATTTAGTTTGATCTCATATTAGCTGCATATGTTGCATACCATTTATTGAAACTCTACCCCACTAGAGGCTTACGAATCTTCAAGAATCCTGATTTCAACCAAAGAAAGTCTCTTGTAAACTCTTACGAAGGTTTTTTCCAATACGCATTTCAAAATAATACAATTTATGGCATACTTGATAATCTACATAAAAAGATATCGAAGGTGATGAAATGAACTAAGATAAAGCCTATACGGTCTTTACAAATGCGCCAAGCATTATTAATGATTTAACCTTTCTGAAAGACTCTACAGTCTTGATAATCGGAATATTAAAATGAAACATTCTGAAACTTTACGCCTTTTGCTTGAAAACCTGAAAATACACTATTCACTAAGCTTAAGATACGGTAGAGCTTGAAATTCCTCATTTTGTTTATTCTGGTGAATATGAGCTTTAAGAATTATTCCTAACAGTTATGTAATTTACCAAGTATGTGATTACTGCAAGACAACACTGTCCTTTTTAACGTTATACTATTTAGCTTCTGACCCAAGTAAGTAATCCTAAGAAATGTTACGATTTATTAATTTATTAGTACAATAATATGTACTACTAATCTGACAATAAACGCCGACAACTCTCTGAAAAGCTCCATATACAAAAAGCCTACATGAACTGGACAATTCATCAAGTTTCAAAGCTTTGTGTGCCTAAACAGAAAGGGGAAACTGATATACGCTCTTTCCTTGAGGATTCGGAAGATATATCGTTAGGAGGTGATTGATGAAGAACAGAGTGATCTCCGAAAAACCATGATGGAAAACGGTTTTCTGCCTAGGTTCATACACAAGCATCTCAAATGAAAGAAGACTTTCGAAGAAGATACTTCTGCTTAATCTAGAATTCAAAGGTGGTATTGAAGCAGAAATCCTTAGTAAACGCAAATCTGCAAATCTCTGAGGAAGACATACTTCGCTGCGAGCCTACGACTGACGTTTTTCTGTCATAAACTGTTCAGCCAGAACACGAAAGACAAGCTGTCGCATTGGGCCACCTCAACGTGCATATATCAGTTTACGTGTTCTTGCAGAGCTAAGTACAACGGCCGTGCCACGTGCCAACTTGAAAACGCGCTCGTGAACACTCTCCAGCCTGGCTATTAAAAGGAGAAGGAAACAGGAATGTAGTTTAGTGACAAACATTTAATCAATTCAGGACATTCAGCGCCTTTCGAAAAATCCTTCAAAATAATATACAAGATTCGATCAAACCTATCAAAGAAAGTGAAATCAAGACATATGGGCATAGTCAAGGCACTAGCATTTCAAAAGCTCAAACCCCCACTATCCATCCGAAAGAAATACGTTCAACCCTTGTCCCTACTATGGCCATCATAAACAGCTAATTCTTTTAATACTGACTATCCATTGCCTTTCTTATCCAAACTTCCTGCGTATTCATGTTATTTTTAAGTTTTTCCTAATCGCTATTTACACCGCCATATTTTCATATCCGAACTTTCTGTCTATTTCGTCATTTTATTATTTCTACATATTTAATCCTTAATTGCATAAACAGTTATTTGTCACATCAGTTATGATCCCACTAGATGTTTTATCCAACCTCCCTGTCTATTTTGTTATTTCTACGTTTCTGGCCCTTAATGGCACACCATGATGCTTTTTTGTTTGAGTTTTCTCCGTCCCCCAACCCTGTTTATTATAGCATTTTAGTTCCTAATTGTTATTTTATTATTTTGACCTTTGAGCAAAAATAGGTCTGAAACTTTCTCACCCATTTACCATAAATACACGAATATACAGCTATCTAGTTGATAAATTCGTCATGTAAACATGTAAACATTGGTAGACGCTTCCCAAATACTTTAACAATTAAAAAATTCATCGAAAAAGTAGTCACTGTACGATGCTTTCTATGATGTATGATAGTTATTTCATTCGAAAGAATTATAAATATTTTTCACTCAGAAATTATCGAAGCAATAAGATGTTCTATTGTCTATCCTTAACCATTTTTTTCACTTTAGGTGTGAAGGAGCATGGAAGTGAGTTTTAAACAATACCTGAGCTTGTTTCTTGAATAAAAAAACACTTACTGAATCTAAAATCATAATGTTCCATTTTTGATCATTTTATCGAACAGTTTCTATATTCAATGTTCACCAACAGCCTATATTTCCTTAGTTTCCTGGCCACGAAAACAATCTACTCAGCATAACAAATACCCAAGGGAACAACTGGATGACAACAATCCTATGAACTGAAGAAGTATTTGAAAACTACAGTGACGTTTATCCACTTCAAGGAGATAGATTAAACCTAAGCATGTGATAAAACTGCAACTCAGGACAAACTCTTTGATTCCTAACATTTCATCATCTGAGCATGTCAGCTGATAAGAACTCACCACTTGGAGAATTATTCATGAGGTCTTCTCTTTGGTTGCGAATTTCTGCTAGATTTATCTTAGAACTCTGAACCTTCAAACATACTAACAGATTTCAGCTCTTCTTCAAAACACAACTTTATTTGCTGTATGGGAAATAATCATGCACAGCTGTTTCTTTTTTTATTCCTTAACGTTTCCAGTGCTAGAACACAGGGCTTCAGGCTAGAGCCAGCTTGAAGCAGTAGTGCTTAATTTTCAACTGATGTCAGCTCATGATTAAATCCTCCATGCAGTAGTGCTTAGTTTAGCGGGATTGGGTCGGTAGCCTCATGCCCCCCAACCTTCCCTCTTTACCACACTTACCTATGGCATAGCGAGGTAGAGAAGTGCGTCAGCCAGAGATTAAGTCCCGGAACACCTGTGGCGTGGTTGGTGAGAATTCTGCCGCTGTGCCACCAATGCACCTTAAGCCACGAAAAATAATTGTAGTTAAGAATATTTAGAATCTCCATTGCCAAACAAATAACATGTATTCACTGCAGTTCTGTGCTTGAAATTATGATACTTGATCTCATCACGCTATTTTCTAAACATACTGTTATTTTTCACTATTCCTAATAAAGGTGTACCGAAAGGTTTCGGTGAGCTCTTATAGTTTCATATTTCATTGTTGGAATATTCACTATAATTAATTCACTCCTGAATGTGGCGACCGCAGGTTTTTGGTTTGAATGCTTTCTAATTGAAGTAGAAAAATCACGATCATCTACAATATTCTTAATCAAACCTTAATGTTTTGAGCAGGCAAATACATGAAGAACCACTGCCTGCACAGATGTATGCCAGTTTCGCTGAATATATCCAAATAGTAGATGCATGCATAAACAAATTACACATTTTCACTGTTTGTATTTGCAGGGGAAATTTGTAACCAACTAGATAGGATAGTTATATACTTCAGAATATATTATATTCGTGGTCAACAACTGCCCTCACTGACTCGGATAGTGTGCCTGCATGTATAAATTCCGTCATTACTGACAATACTTACTCAGGTATGACGGACTTTAATTCTCATTTTAGAAATTCTTATAGGATACAAGTTTGTTCACCGACTGACATCATCTAGAGAATCAGTGAGGAACCAAGGAGTATTAGGCAGCTCTTCTGTTCAAGTTTTCAGACTCTTCAGTGGTATACACCCACTGGAGTTCGACGCCAGGACCTTCTGGTTACATGTCACACTCGTAGATTGATCAGTCACTGGAAGTATGTCCAGCGGCCGATGAATTCCAACTTCCAATATACATATATGAGATACACAAATCAAGAAATATACCTGAGTACCTTCCACTTCAGATATGAAGGTTATAAATCTACTATGTTGGACCGAATGACACCATTCGACGGCTCACTTAATTCTTCCCTAAATCAACCAGTAGTAGCAATCTGATATTTACGTGTTGTTTTTTTATTTGATTGCGACAGGTGACAGTAGAGGTAAGTGAAATGGAGAACACTAAAAAGACGTCTTTCAACGGAAAAGAGACGTTTCTCACTGTGCTTCTGGATATTTTGTAAAATATCTTTAATAGTATAAAGCTTATTAGTATAGTAGTTGCTTTAAGAACTAATGGCTTACATGAAGTAAATAAGACCAATTAATTTTCACTTTTAATTGGTTATCTATTCGGTCGTATTTTGATACAATTGGAGAGTACGCTTAGCAAGTTGCATCCATACGATATGAGCCACTGACACCGGCGATCCCTAATGTCCAAGTGTGGAAAATAATTCCAATGTACCCAAAAGTTTCTGAGTATTTTGCGGTCACATAATCTCCCGAGGTTGAAATTTAACAAAGTCGAAGCTTCCCTGATGATTGTTATTGAAAATTTACGATGTTACAAATAAGAATTGCTTTAGGTTATGATCTGTTGTTTTACACCTGAAGGCATTCTCATAAAAGCCATAAATACATTCATGATTCCTTCCACGTCTATATGACACTTCGACAGTGGTAATAAGGCGTTGTTTATCTGCAAATCGTACTGCCTTGGTGTATCACATTTTGAACACGTACATGTCATACATGTTTTTCCAAAAAGTTATTAGATTTCAAAAGTGAAATCTGACGGGTGAAAACATTACCTCAAACCTTCAAAAAAAGAGATGGGATGTGAAACCATCCCTTAGACGCATTCTAAGATAAGTCCGGGCCGTTTGCTACTTCACTTTGTCAAGATCCTAGCTATAAAATGACCAAAAACAGATTTTGTGCGTTCAGAAGTTCTTCATCATTACATCCAACCCCCTCACTTGGTAATTAACTTTTAAAATCAAGGGTTATTGAATCTGTGATTTGGAATCCTAAAGGTAGCATCTTCATTTGACAGATTTCATTTTTGACCTTCTTTGCTGTGTTGGGTTTTACATAAATATCTCGATGGCAAATAAAAGCCTTTTGACAGCGTCGATCAATAGTTGATTTCGAAACTACTTCGCTACTACTGACTGCCGCCAACAGTTATACATCTCATCCAATAGTTATACAATAATGTTGCATGCCAAGTCGTCCACAATGGGGAACTCACAGAATCTTTCGGAGTCGAAACGTTAGTAGGACAAAGCCAGCTTGCTCCCTACTATCTCCAGTGATTTTATTGATTGCTATAGACTGGAGAGTGTGATAGAGAGCGGGCAGCGAGGAGACAGGCATAACAAGGATTTATACAAAACCTTAAAGGATATGTATTTCTCCGGTGATATATGTTTGATTTCCTACACACTGGAAGATATGCAAGTGAAAAGAGACAAGTAGGCAGAAGAAGCATAAAAGATAACAAGGATTTCAGGTGAAAATAGAGGGAACAGGGTGATGGAGATTTCTGGCCAACAGAAACAACAACAGATAACAGTCAGCATAAATGGAGAAATCTGAAGGAACAACCTCCACTATCTACCTAGCTGGAAGCATCGTTTCAATTACAGGCGGAACTGATGACCTGGAGGAGGTCATGCAAAGAGGAGATGAAATCATGTCATTAAACATGGACCTAGGTGAAAACGCTGGCAGAGAACCAAACGCATTGGAGATGCACGGCTCAAGCACTTTGTTCCTCTAGGAACTTAAGGAATAAATAATAATATAATAATAAGTAAAGTCTTGTCAGAATGTTAGAAATGTGTTGCACCAAGACGTTAGATTTCACAGATAAATCACATATTCCTACAGTATTGGTCTAATTCACCAAGGAATCAATTGCACTGATGTCTCTGAAGATGGAGACTCCTCTCTTGTAATCATCCGTGCTTCATGTAGTCAGCATTAGCATACATATGCTTCACTTCTATTAATGACAGAAAAATTTCTCTTGAATATAATTTCAGTCAACATGATTTAAAGAAAATAGCCTTAATAGTTTTCGTACGCATTGGTTAGAGTCAGGGAAATATAAAATGACATTTCAGTCACACTTGATGAACCCTCTGACTGAGAGACCTATCCTTCAAAGAAGATTAATACTTGCCTATGAATTTAAAACTTCATTTTTATTTTTACTAAATCCTTTTCAAATTGTGCTGGTAAATTACAGATATGGGACAAAAAGGTGAGTAAATTGTAACATGTACAGATATTTTGTGATCAACTAAGTTTCTGAGATCAGTTTTGCAGTCAGTGTTTTCTGGAGTTCTTTTATCCAGTTTCTGTAAAATAGTGTTTTAAGTTTCAAAGAATCGTTTAAAGGACTTCGTATGATTGCCTCCTTGAAAAACTTCACTACTCATGGTGTATTCAACGGGAATTATCTAGTTTGCAGGTGAATTCATCAACCAACTTGTATGTCGAGAAGCTTATGGAATAATAAGAAGTGTGTAATGGTAGTAGCCGGTATGTGGTTGCATGTTAACGCATCTTCGTTATAAAGTAGGGAATATTTTAATATACTGAATTTTATCATCATTATTATTCCTTTGAGTTCCGAGTCAAACATTCGTTGGTGGCACAGTGGTTAAGACTCTCGCCGACCATTCACATGGTCCGAGGTCCGAACCCCGCCGACGCACACCTGATATCTATGGTCGGCCTGCAAATTTGGGCTGCCGATATCCGCGCTGGAAATTCCAAATTGCACCAAAAATACAGAGTCGCATCAAGCTCAATCAAAAATAAAAAATAAACTTTTACGGTGTGTGCGTAATTCCGATTATTCCCAAACTAGGATAAAACAGCTGTCCAGTACTCCCTGGTTTTCAATGGTTCTCTAAATGATATCAATCCGTGATCATTTCGTGGGAATAAACAGCCTTAGCTTTAGATCTTTTCAAGTTCTGTAAAGAACATTGAAGTTACTGAAAGATTTGTGTATGTTTACACTTCGAGAAACTGTCATAAATCTTACTCAAAACGTGGTATTTCCCAATACCGCCAACCCTGGCGCTTTCAGAGGTGATTGATCTGAAATAGCTTATCAAGTTGGGGAAAACGTGTATCACTTTCGTGTACAGACATAAATTTTAAACTATGCTTCAATAAAAAACTTTATTTGCAGATATAACTGGTAAGCTTAGAAAGTTGCTAAATAAGGAACTTTTAGCCAAACGATAATTCACCCAATTTTCAAATGTTATCCTGCATGAATGTTTTCCACATCACGTATCTTCTCGACATGTTGTGCGTCGGTGGCACAGTGGTTAGGACTCTCGCCGACCATGCACATGGTCCGGGTTCGAGCCCGCACCGACGCACATCTGATATCTATGGTCGGCCTGCAAAATTTGGCTACCGATATCCATGCTGAAAATTCCATACTTGTACCGAAAATACAGTGTGGAATCAAGCTGTAAATCAAAAATAAAAAATAAAAAAAATGTTGTAGTGGGAAACTTACTCAATGAAGTCTAAATTTACTAGATGATTTATGTCAGCATAGTTTAAGATATTTACAAACAGTAAAATGTATCAATTGAAGTGGATGTATTTCACTGACTGATGTCATTTCAAGAAGCAACACAGGAGAAGCCATTTTAGACAATTCAGATGGAGAACTATCTTTAGGAAATGTGTACCAATCGATTTCTTTGACTTCTCAACAGTCGAATAGACAATATTATCTTCGATCTATATTTTCACCATGACAACATAACTATTAGGCTATTTTTACTACCTTAGAATACCCTGAACACCAGATGGTGTTTCACTTTGTCCACTGAACACAAATGTTCTACATTTGAACAGTCTTTGAGTAAAGATACTGTAATCTATGATCATTTTGTCACCGTGTGAGTAATTATCTCGAACGGGAAAGATGATTTTAATTAGATTTAAAATAAAAAAAGGAAGAGATTCAAGTGTTTGTTAAGAATTTTCTGTGAAAACACTGACTTTCTCTAAGAAATAAACTCGCTAGTATCGTGATATACCATGGGTGGCGCAGCGTTAGGATGCTCGTGAACCACAAATGTGGTCCGGGTTTCGATTCCCAGCCGACAAGGCACTCTTCTACCTCGCTAAGCCAATAATAAGGCTGGTGAAGAGGGAAGCCTAGACATGAGGCTACCAAACCCATCCCACTGTCGCAGAAAAGAGAAGACGTTCAGCGAAGAGACTCTTTTCGCCAGTGAGTTCATTCACATAGCTGAATAATCGCATTTATACATAATTATTTTTCTGTTTGTGTACATAAGGTTTTTCAAGTTTGGATAATTAATTAGCTAATACAAGAATGATCTAATATAGAAACAAGGTTAATTAGACATCAACTGAAGTAAGATTGAGTTAGTAAGTTAGATGTCGTAATATAATCGACTAAAATCTTTCAACTTAGGTCAGGATAACAACAGAGGTAATTAAAGGTAGAAACTAAACAGAGGTGGGATAGAGAATAATGTCATTTGAATTAGGACTAATATTGAGCAAACAAATTGGATGGCGTAACATAAATGACTAAAAATTGAGCGTTGGTCAAGTCAGTAACAGTGGTAGTGAGGTGTAGAAATTAAATCGCGTCGGGGTAGAAAACGGGAAAGTTGAAAATGTAAAATATTACAATTGTAATGACAAAATAATACGAATGAAGAGACATTTTGCATGGTGTGTTCATGTAGCTAAATTAAAATATTCCAGACACGTCAGTGTAAAACTACAAGTCCTAGTATACTTCTGGAGTAAATGACAGTAAAGGCGACGAAACAATAACTGATTTCAGAAAGTGTATGACGGATAACAAGCATAACATGACGGTATTCCATAATGAACTTTACACTCAGCGATTCACTTATTCGTCTATGGAAAATATTTTACATTACATTTTAATTTTGTGAGATGTCGCACTAAGATGAGTTCTTTTCAAATTTTTATTTTCTCAAACATATTAAAGATGAACTCAGTAAGTTCGTCTAAGTTTTAATTATATTTTCAAGTATTGGTTCTGTAGGGATTTAGTTTGATTAGATATTTGGAGGATTTCACCATGAGCTGACATCAGTTAAAGAACCACTGGGAAACCAGCCACAGGGAGTACTGGACAGCTGCTTCCCTCATCCTAGTCCCTCTGGAGTCTCCACCAGTACGCACCCACCGCCAGTGTTCGAACCAAGGACCTTCTGATTACAAGGCGAGCTTGTAGACAATTGAGCCACTGGAAGCCGATCCAATGGCAGTAACCCATCGAAGAAGACATTGTGAAATGTTCGCACTATATCGTAAATTGGCACAAGTTAGAATTCATGGGCTGGCCATTGGATTGTGTACCAGTGAATGGCCTACGAGCTCGCGTTTTATCCAGAAGATTCTGAGCTCAACCCTTGGTGGTGGGTTGGTACTAATGAAGAGTTCAAAACTAGGACAAAACAGCTGTCCAGTACTCCCAGGTAGTTTTTCAGTGGTTAGCTAACTGATGTCAACTCATGATGAAATCCTCCAGCCATTTGATTGTATTATTGATATAAGTATAAAACTTAGGCACTGTCGTAGAGTATAACTCCATTATAGATAAGATTTTATTTTGATAAATCACACAGTGGTGTTATACAGTAATATTACTGTACAACACTGTGTGATTTATCAAAATGAAATCTTATCCATAATGGAGCATTTGATTTCACTTCACTAACTTAACACTGAGACAGTTTTCAGTAAATGTTTGCAACATTTTATGTCCAGTGAACTTAATAAAGTATACTCAAGTTGTTATGATACTATTAGTTTTCATTATCCGGACTGAAAGTAGGCGACAAGATACAGATGAAACAGGACGGAACCGTTTTATGCCTCTCCACTTATTGCTATTGCTTTGTTCAAAGTCAGTAAAGTAAATACATGCATGAAATAGGTGTTTCATCTTGAGTTTCCAATATCTAAATTGCATCTTTTGGAAGTGCGTCGGCGGCACAGCCGTAGAAGAGTCGCCGCCAACCACTCCTCATTTAGTTCGGGGTTCGATCACCGGCGAACGCACTCCTAAATCTCGCTAAGCCATTAATAAAAAGCTGGTAAGGAGGTGAGGTTGGGCATGAGGCTAGCAACCCCATCTTGCAAAAATAAACACCACTGCTACAGAAACTTCAAGCCCTATGTTTCACTGGGAACGTGAAGGAATAAAACAAATGAGGAGCATGTTATATACAGATCGGTTGCTTCTGTACTAACTTTACAAACAAGCCTCAGTCTTTCTAGAACTTTCTGCGATTTCAGCATACCAACTATCTTTCAAATGACTGTCGACATATTTATTAGATACTGTAATGACAGAAGACAAGAGTCAGGCAACAGAGCGTTTATCAAAAAAATCAACCGATATTTATAGATTTTTATGTACATTAGTATTAGCGTTATTGTTAGCAGAAAGTTAAAGCCTTCTGATTGGTTGTTTTTTTGCTAAAGGTTATTCTGTCATCTCTTTGTGGCCATTTCTTTGAAGGTCAGACCATTTATATCTGCGAATCATATCCACCCACGCAAAGTCCGTTGTGATTGGTTGTTGAGTTAGTCTTTGTTCTAGATTGTTTTTCATGACCAAGATTTGAGACGTAAACATTGATGTGAATTGCTGTCCACGAATTTTGGCTAGCAGACAGCTCTCATCTCAATGGTATTCCGCAACAACTGTACATTTATTGATTCACTTATTTTGTATATGAAAAGCACTTTACATTACATTTTGACTCAGTGAAACATCATTAAAATGAATTTTTTGTTTCTCCCAACAACTGTTTATTTTTTTTTCAAGTGAACGATTTCTTCTGTAAGTTTTACCCAATTCAACTCAAGCAAAAACAATCGCCTTCATTAGCAGAAACATTATGAGGTATTTGTGCAATCAAACAGGTCTTTCAAATAATAATACACTGAGCAGCATAGAACTGCCCCATCCTATCACGGGTTCGATCCTCTGTCGACGCACATCTGATATCAATGGTCGGCCTGCAAAATTTCGACTACCAATACCACATGCTGAAAATTTCATAATTGCAACAAAAATGCGGTGTGGAATCAAGCTATAATCAAAAATAATAAAAAGTCTTCAAGTATATAACCACTTAGGAAATTATTACCGGTATTATTTCTGAAGTGAAATTACGTTAATAAACTCAAAAGCTACATTCATAATATCCGCCAATTTTCTCTTTGGATTATGGATAATAAAGACAAGTATTGTTTGACACTAGTATATTTATGAGGTACAAAATAGGAAAGTGACACTGTACATACCGAATTGTTCACTATCATTCGTAGCTTGTTAATTTGTGTCATTTGTCTTGGCTGTATGTACTAAGTTATACAAATCAAATTGGTTATCAGTTAAAACTTCGTCTCGTTGATTTGTGTACATATATGAATGAAATTAGAAAGAAGTAGGCTTTAGGCGTACACATCCTTTAGAAGTTAATTGGTAGGTGGTGACTAGCAGTGGAATCCAAGATAACGCGCATTTCATCCTATTTATGGCCCGTCGGCTGGATGTACCTGAATGATGATGTCACCCAGTGCCCATAGTTTCAAATGCCAAAGCTTTATCCATTAGAGTACTTGGGCCACGAGAGCCATTGCCTCTTGTGGAACAAGTCATATTAATTATTTACTTCAATTTTATATTTTCCCGTCGACTGATTCGACTGAAGTGCTCGTCCCAAGTTGACATGTCGGCTTCCTGTCCAGATGCTCGATGATGTCTGGGCATGTAATTAGAAGTTAAGTGGTGGATGGTGACTAGCTGGTACATCAAGATGATGAGTCCCGGGTAGGAAGCAACGCACATCATGGACTTTACCTTTAATTACATGCCCAGACATCGCCGAAACATCTGGACAAGAAGTCGACATGTCAACCTGAGACCGAATACTAAGGTTCAATCAATTGATGGGAAAATCTAAAATTCAATTAAGTACACACCTTTTGATAGCGATGACAACCGCTCTATTCTCAGCCTTAAAATTTTGATGTGGTCCCTTAAGTTTGTGATAGATGCTTGACAGCTTCTGACTTAAATCAGTTACAATGTAGTTTTATGATATTAGTCGTTCTTACACGTATACTGCAGTTTTTTAGTAGTATATTTACTAAATAGTGGACTATTTAAAACAGAAAATGAGATTAGTAATAATTTATAGTTTTATTCTGGACAGTAAACAGAATTCACTACATAGTATACTCTCCTTGTTTTGATGATGTTATATGATTAGAGGCAATTGGCTACAGTAAGCCTTGAACTTAGGTTTCGTGCTGGCTGGCACTCACCAGTCAGTAAGGTGTATGTGTAACCTCCCTTCTGAGAAGATTAGAACCCGCGTCACCTAATGCTGTAGTCAGACACGTTATCACTGAGCGATTGACTTCCTGTAGGATTGTATTGGATATTTTGGTTGGACACTAGTCAGTAACTAGTGTAATGTGTCTATTCTTATCTCTGGTGCAGACTGAATTCTATCAGTCAAGTTAGGTGACTCATGAGTGCCAACTTACACAAAACCGAGGTCAGGCCAGGCTTCCTGCCGATTACCTTCAATCATCTAATACCAACAATTCACAGTGCTGTACAATCGCAAATGGTTATTTCATATGTGTATGTGTGTATATTAAATTTGTCAGACGAAAATACAATTAATAAGTAGCCAGATTCTTTGAATAAACGTTGAAGTAGGTAAAAATTAGTTAATTAACTTCCTTTTGGGTCTACAAGAACTACGATAAAATTTTCAGTTTCCTTCGTTCCTTCATTATTATGAAGTACAACATAGTGGCACCAATCACCTTCAACGAGAGAGATTTAACATAGAGGTTGCCTCCTTCATTTATCCGGCTAGAAAGCACCGTTTCGACTACAGGCGGAATGGACGAAGATGTCAAGGCTAGTCAAAATCGGAAAGGCAAGATACGCCTTCATCAACCTAAGACCAGTTTGGAAATCTTCCACACTCAACAAAAAGAAGAAGAAGATTCGTATTTTCAACACCGACGTAAAGTTGGTTCTTCTATACGGGTCAGAAACTTGCACTGCATGTCATGAAAACGATTTCTAACCGGCTACTGCAGAGTTTCGTCGACAGCTACCTCTTTCACTGGCTCCATATTGAAGATCAAATGGCCGGCCAGAAAGAATAAGCAACAAGAAACTCCAGCTGGCTGGCAATAAACCAACAGGCGACAGCCAATTGCTCAACATATATGTTGAAGAAAGTTTAGATGGATCAGGCATACATTGAGGAGGCCGTCGAATGACATCGCATGCCAGGCCCTCGAGTGGAATCCTAAAGGGAAGCGACAAGTGGGTCGTCAGTGCGAGGATGACATGGAGGAGATCATGTGAGGAAGAGATGAGACAGTTTGGTCAATCGTGGACCCAGCTTAATAGGATGGCAGAAAACAGACTCAAGTAGAGATGTGTTGTTGAAGCTCTATGTTTCGCTCGAAAAGCAAGGGAACAATAAAAGCATAGTGGAAAATAGGGCTATCGCCTTCAATCACGTACGCACTTATGGTTCGTTTTGATAAAAATATCTTCGACCGAGCATAGAAGGCCTTTATTTTTCTACCTTGCCTCTCAAATGCTAACTACTACGATGGATGACAGAACTTCATCTATTCCATATTAGCTTGCATCAGTCAATTATTTGCAAATCCCAATTTGTAGTATAAATCATATAGTAGAGCATTTGAAGCACACATTTAGGAGACTGACTCATATATGTAAATAGGCTCAGGACACTTCAGATATTATGACAGACCTGTAAGTAAGAAGCAATCAGCCCACAAACTTACTGTACACATTGAAATAGGCTAATTCAGCCAACTCTTCAAGTTGTACTAACATCAATATCAGTAAGTGCTGGAATTGTCATATTCTGAAGCTTTCCGAAATTGTTTCCTCTCATTGGTTTCAACAAATACTGTGGTTATTGTGTTTTTCTGTAATTCCCCATCAGATTACCCAGATAGTAAGTAATTTCTATGTTTATTGGTGAATGATGATTAGCATGGAGTCTAGTATATGCATTTCGTCCTATTCAGGACTCGTCATCCACCTGGATGTACCTGCATTCCTCAGTGGGCGATGATGTTTCCACCGACGCTCGAACCTAATGCCCATAGTTCCAAACGCCAAAGCGTTATCCATTAGACCAATTGGGCCACGAGAGCTACTGCCTCTTGTGGAACAAGTCATAACAATTATTTAATTGAATTTCAGCTTTTCCGTCGACTGACTGGACCGAAGTGCTCGGTCTTAGGCTTACATGTCAGCTTCTTGTGCATATGCTTCGACGATTTCTGGGCATGTAATTAGTCACCATCCACCAAATAACTTCTAATTACATGCCCAGAGATCGTCGAATCATCTGCACAAAAAGCCGGCATGTCAACCTGAGACCGAGCACTTCGGTCCAATCAGTCGACGGGAAAATCTGAAATTGAATTAAATAATTTCTATGCTTGCCTAAAAGTTCAATTTTTGAATTTCAACTCGCCTTTTAATCACTGATAAAGAGACAATTTCTCAGTACTTACACTTAATATACTACGAGAAAATTAGTGGTATGTTTTACGGTGTGAATGAAATCAATACATTGACTCGCTTCTGATTTGCACATGTTCCTTACTGTTTACACTTTCATCCAGGTTGAATATTGCAACTTTAATATTTTACCCTTAGAAAAGAAGTTTCACCAGGCAAATAATCACTTATATTCTAGCTGATAAGGACCAATAATATCATCAAAGTTCTTAGTAATAAAGACTCTCAAAATAAGATGATAATGTAAATTTAACCATGGCACATCCAGCACTAATAGACTCCTCGACGCCTGTTGCTATGTACATCTCTGATTAATTTACGACAGAATAGATTTTTGGTTGGAGAATTTCATTATGAGCTGATATCAGTCAGAAAACCACTGGAAAACCAAAAAGGAGTACCGGACAGCTGTTTCCTCGTCCTGGTTTAGGGTTCTGCAGCAGTACGCACCAACCCACCTCCACAGTTTGAACACAAGACCTTCTGTTTAAAAGGCCAGCGAGCTCGTAGACCAATGACCAGCCAATGAATTTCAACTTCTACCAGTTCATGACATAGTGAGATCGCTAGCCAGTGTCATCGCTGGCGACTATTTGTCCTCACACCCGACCTGCTGCACCCTACTGGTCACGACTTCCCACTGCAATCCCAGCTCACAGTTTGAATACGGCCAGTTGCTGGTGAGCATCAGATCTATTTTCAAGCATTGACTTTTTTGTACGGATTTTGTTCGATTGTTTAGAGGATTTCATCATGATCTGACATCAGTTAGACAACCATTGCAAAACCAGCCACAGGGAGTACTGGACATGTGTTTCCCCGTCCTAGTTTTAGGACTCTTGATGAAAGCCTCCAACCAATCAAGCAAAATCCTCACAAAAATGCCAACACTTGAGAATGGATTTTGTCCTGAGCTCCAAAAGTAAACACTTTGTTCTGATGTTTAAATATATAATGTAACCCTAGAAGTGTCATACCTGAGCACATAGCCTTTGCTGCGATTTAATTAGACAACTTTAAAAAAATAGAAATCCTTAATCGAGGTATATTCATCTAGTACATTTTCTGATTAAATAGAAGTAGAATTCAATATAAATCCTCCATAATTACGCCTCTAATTCTAGGCTGTCTCGTACATGTTGGTGCAAAATCGATAGCCCTTCCTTCCATCCATCAACATACTTGTTAAAATTTCAATTCTTGCAGAAAGTGTTAAAAATCCAGGATGTGAGTTGAATAGTATTTTGTATTATATATTCCGAAACTAAATTTTCAGAATTCCATTATGGGTAAATTTTTGTTTTGATAAAGTCTCACAGTGTTATTCAGTAATGTTTACTGATGACCACGTTTCGAGCACAATTTATTACTACTGCTCATAATCATATCAAGACATTACTCACAAGACATCCTAACTTCATTTATATAGTTCCATTATTTTTCACTTGATTTGATTGGCAGTAGTATTTTCAATATTTCAGGTATGATTGATGACTCATTCTTATGTCAACACTTCATCCTATATCGACAGAACAAAGTGGGTGATCAACCTCTCATCAAGGGAACTAAGCTCTAGTGAGATAAAAGTACTTGAGAAGTGGATTTCAGCCAGCATCCCTTCATCAACAACTCTGATAGGGTTCTCAGTCATGAAACACATATGCTTCATACTTCAGGAACTAATAAACTTTTAAAATCTATATCCTTTCTTTATCCTGCAGTTACTTTTAGTAGTAAGTCTGCATATAAATTAAACACTTTTAATTGTAAATTACATATTTATATACAAGACAGTGTATCAGAAGGTGGTGAAAGAGTTTAGTGAAGTTAACCGAGAAAGATTTATTTTCCCAGTCAAAATGATATCGCATATGGCATGTTTTGGAGTTACCCTATTTCTAGACCTATTTCTATCAGTGGACGAATTCATCCTTTTCTCCTTGTAGCCAGTGACCCATTACAAGGAGTATCTTCTGTCTCTTGGTTTCACTGCTGTTTACGTATAACTAAACAGATATTCCTCCAAGATATTGGCTATCCTACATAAGAGTATAAAGGGTAAAATTTCTTATGAATAGACCATTATGACGCATACTATGATATCATTTATGAATGCAATAGTAAATAACAGTTTTTATGAGTCTATTTTCGTTATTTAAGTTGAAAACGTTTCGTCTCATTCCACGACTAACTTCGTAAACGATCATTTGTCTTCAATTAATTATCCTGCATGTGAATATTACGTGCGTCGGTGGCATAGCGGTTAGGACGCTCGCCTACCATACACATGGTCCGGGTTCGATCCCCAGCCGACGAGGCACTCCTTACCTCGCTAAGCCAGAAATAATTCTGGTAAAAAAGGAAAGGTTGGGCATGAGGTGGCTAGCAACCCCATCCTGTAAAATAAACGCTGCTGCAGAAACTTCAAGCCACTAGCTTGTAGCCCTATGTTCCACTGGGAAAGTGAAGGGAGAAAAACCATGTGAACATTACGAATCCGTATATTTGTATTATGAGCTAAAACAAGGAGTAATTGATAACAGTCCCCTTTACATTGTCTAATCCTTTCTTTAGTGTAGAGTGAACACTATCAGTCAGGTTTACGATATGGCCACCATGCCAAGAGTGATTTGCAGTCACAGTCAACCATGAATTGTTAATATTAGATGTTCATAGACAATCGGTAGGAAACCTTGGACCTAAGTTTCATGGTAGTTGCTCCACAGTTACTTCCTGTGGTCGATTGCCTCGAATCATCTAATATAAGAAATACTTTAAAGATTTCCTACATTTTCAACGATTCTACCACTTTAATTGGTAGATGGTGACTAGCAGTGAAATTCCCTTGGATGCGCATTTCGTCCTATTTAGGGCTTGTCAACTAGCTGGATGTGCCTGCATTCCTCAGTATGTGGTAATGTTCCCACCGAGGCTCGAATTATTCGGTTATGCAGCAGTTTAATGTGTACAATAAAAGATTGAAAATATAGAGAATGATGATCGTTACGCCCACTGTTTCATGTAATAAGAGACAATAAACAATCGTGTTAACTTGCCGTATGTGTTTTAATCTTGTATCAACTGAAGAGAACAACAAAATATATCCAAGTTTGATGACGAACTATTTAAGGCTGCTGGTATTAAATGCATGCTGTTTTTAATCGTACAAAATCATAAATAATATTGTCGTTGAAGCCTCACATAAGAGCTAATGCATTTTTTATTCATAGTGGACGAAAACATTCATCCAATGATGCTAAGCAACCTACAGTATCATTCTAACCAAACTGTTTGATCACTCCCCACCCGGTTCTGAAATGCTATTATGCGTAATTTAGTTGATTCACAAATTTAAAACTAAGGTGAACTCTGTTGTACTTTTTGAGTTGGAACCTCTTGTTATCACAAACTTAACACTATCCAGTTCTGTAAGTTTAGATGACTAAGTGACACTCCGTCACTTTTACGTCGATCTCAGTTATCTTCTTGCTGACAAAGCATTGTAATATAAAAAAGGACTATCTCAAACTATCTTGTTGTTTTCAAGTAATGATGTTTGTAGGGATTTTGTTTGATTAGATGGAGGATTTCATCATAAGTTGAACCATTGGATAAAACCTGAAGTAAGTAATGGACAGCTGTTTCGTCAGTCTAGTTTCTGTGAACTCTTCATCAGTATGCACTCGCCGCCATGGTTTGAAAGCAGGAGTTTCCGGTTACAAGGCTAGCGAGCTAGCAGACTATGAAGCCACTCACTGGGACCCACCTGATCCAATGACCAGCCAGCTCATGAATTTCAGCTTGTGCCAATTGATTCATTACATAGTGCGACTAATTCACAATCTCTTCTTTCGATCAGTTATTGCCACACCTTCAACCTGCTGTAGTCTACTGGACCTGCCGTCTCAAACTAGTAAGAAGCAAATGCTCAGTACTCTCAGCTGGTTTTCCAATGGTTCTCTAGCTGATATCTTGTTTTTAATGTTGTTGTTTCAATTTTGAAAATTTTTGAAAATTGAAGAAAGATATCTCATGGACGTCTTCCAAAAGAATGAATATCCACAGAATTTCATCAAAAGACATATACCTCCAAGTTAACCTATCAAACCAAAAGCCCCCAAGGAAAGCACAAAGAAAATCGCCCTACCATATATAAAGGATATCTCAGAAATCACTACAAGACTCTTCAAACCTTTAGGAATTGGCGTCGTACACAAACTGACAAAATCATTTCACTCAGCCAGCCAGCCAGCCAGCTCTGTGTCAACCAAAAGACTCAACAACGATAGAAAATAAAGCCGACACTATCTACAAAATAAATTGTAACAACTGCGAAAAACACTACATTAGCCAAAGTGGACGTCGCCTTCGTTTTCGTATCCACGATCATAAGCTAGTCGTCAAAAGACATGATATCCACTCCCTCATATCACTACATACAGACAACCACGGATGTCAGTTAGACTGGGATAACGTTCAAATATTAGACGGAGGAAACAACAAGAATGCTAAAGAATTTTAGAAGCTTGGCATCCCAGTGAATCATCAATCAATAGACACATAGAGATAGACAAAATTTATCAACCGATAAGAAAGAAACCTCACACACAAAGGGTCAAAATTCAAGTCAAAGAAACAATCTGTTCCAATATAGGTAACAGTCTAGATGGCGTGAAAACACACAAAAGCAACCAATCACGTTAAGGTCACCCACCAGCAGAGATGATTAATAAACTCGTGGAGAAATCTAAAAGCTCACTTCAACAAATTGAAAAATGCGCTGAAGATGTCACCTAGTAGGACGGGCGATGAAAGCTTCGCAAATTAACCACTATCCAGCTCAGAGAACACAACCACATAAAAATCATCCACCTGAGCTGCAAATCTTCTCTATCATATTATTTTAAATACTAGCGCATAAAGTGTCTACTTCTCAAACAACTCTTCCAAAGTGTATATACACATAATTTGTTCGCAATAAGTTCATGCAAATGAATGAACTATTTTACTTCAAAATACTAAGCAATTTCATTTTGCTTACTTTCATTTCAGCCAAAGAATGGGGTGAGTTCAATGTAATAACAGAGTTTTTGAAAGCAAACGATGAGCTCCAGCCTTTTTATGACTAGGGCCTCAAAGAATTTAGGTGTATGACTCAAACATATACATTTATATATATATATATATTGGTCTAAAATCAACTTTACGACTCGTCCCTATAATGTGCTTTAGGACGGATAATGTTGGGTATCTATTTTTTTCAGGTTCACTTGAGTTAGGTGATTCCATCTGTGTTTTTTTCACCTACTTAAGAATATAATCCTAACCTGCAGAGATCTATGGGTCCTCCTAAGTGTAAGTGTCACACACGCCACATACATGTAAACTGGCAAACATATCGGGGTGTGGTGACATGATTATCCAAATGCTGTGAGTATTTACAGAACAGCATTAATTTCATATTTGGTATGAAAATGACGTTATCTGCATAGTAAGCTCTAGAGAGTGTCGCTCTACGCCTCTGTTCAGTTATCAGACTTTGGAGCGCTATATAAACATCTATTTTAAAGCTGATGAAATTGATGCAGCGTTATCTTTGATGCTTCTATGGCGTTTAAAGGATAGGTATTACCCCATGTAATATTAGGAATTCGCATTTACCCTTAAACGGTATCCTCAGTAGGGATATTTTGAATACGCCTAAACAAACACTGAACTAATGTTTTCTGTTTTTCAAAACAAGATACAGGCAGTTCTGCGAAGAGACTATTTTCGGTGAATTCATTTTCTTTAGCTGTAAAGTCACATTTATGTACAGTTCTTCATGAAAGAGGGTAGTAAGAAAAGTAATAAGCTGTCATAATCAATGCAAAAGAGTTGAATTACGTAATAAGAGGAGTAATGCACATAGAAATGAAGGAAAGCATGAAATTACGCAATAGTTCCGAAGAAATACGAGAGGTATAAGGGGGTTAGCGAGAAAATGAATTTGTGGAAAACATGTGGAACCATGCATCTTGTATTTTATTACTCTTCGGACGGGAATTTTTCGTGAAGCAATGCTTTTTATACTACAGTGGATGTGGTAAGAGCTGCCTGCAAGCCAAAAATTGGTCAGGAGAGAAAACAAGAAGAAAGCCTACCTAACCTTGAGGGGCTCAACAACCAATCACAGAAGACTTAGCGTGGGCACATAAGATTAGCAATGTATGGTCTGACCTTCAAAGAAATGGCCACAAAGAGATGACAGAATAACCTTCAGCAGGAAAACAACCGATCAGAAGGCGTTAACTTTCTGCTAACAATAACGCTAATAATAATATACATAAAAATCTATAAGTATCTCTTGATTTTCTCAAAATAAACAATCTGTTGCCTAGCCCTTGTCTTCTGTCGTTACACGAACACATGCCATCTAGCAAATGAAGCGTAAAATCTATTCTGAAATACTCATTAGAACATGGTGTCTAGATTCATCTTCACCATTTTCCATTCTACGCCCTTCCAACTAGCAAAAAATTGATTAAACTGTGTGACACTGTTCTCTGAAATACTAACTCTCATCTGAGCTCACACAATACTGGTAGTATGCACTGAATATTTCTTCCGGTAGGAGGTAAAAAGGGGCATAATTTCCATTCTCTGTTCAAACAACAACCTAATGATTTAATATGTATAAAAGAACTTCTATTGTTGATAAACTATTGAATTAATACACACCAATTATATAAAATATGTTATTGGTTGAATTCAGCCTATGAATTTAAAGCACTATGTGAGTATATTACTTCTATAATTTTCATTCATCAGAAACTTATATTTCACTTACTCATGGGTTATATTCAGGTCTCAGTTGTACGGAATTAATATTATTATCATTATTGTTTCCTTTAGTTCCTAGAGAAACATAGGGCTTAAGCCACATGTCTCGATTATGTTCGCTTCTCTATCAACGTTTTCATCTGGTTGCACGTCTGCCCCAACATGGAGGACAAACTTGCCGCTTCCTGTTCGGGTTACACTCGAGTTACGGTCTGTCTAGTGATATCACTTGATGGTTTCCTCAGAATATGGCCAATCCAATCTACCTCATTTCTTCCTGCATGCATATTTGTCGCACAATTGGTTCCTACTGAGTTGATTTGCTCATTGCCAAGACCCCTCCCTGTTTCTGATCTTTTCTGGTCGGCCATCTGATCTGGAGTGGTATTGAGCGAAGACAGCTGTTGATGAAGGTGTCTGTAGTTTGTTCGAAGTGGCCTTCATGACGCGGTGCGGCGCCAAGTCTCTGATCCGTATAGTGAGTAGCACTGACTTACTTCACATTGCAGTAGAAAATCTGGATCTCCAATGTACGGAATAGGAGGAGGAAAATACTATATACAATCAAAAAACTGACATAATTCTTTCTCATGCTCATATGTTATCGAGGCCGCTACTCGGATTGCATTCATGCAATGCATAGATTTCTAGTTGAATATTATCTCTGCTGAAGTTTAGTCGTCGAAATAAAACTTTCTTCCAACATAAGCAAAGAATTTGAAGAATACGTCATTCCAGTTAGAAAAGGATACATTTTCAATTACATTGTGTTCATTATCTCTTGTTATGTATAAATATGAGTGAGAAAAAAGAAAAAGGACGAATGAATGGAAAAGTACTTCCAAAAACCTTTAAATACTTCGATAGACTTCTACTCTATAGTAATTTAGGTCAGTGTGTCATGGGTGTGTGTGCATGTGTGTGGTATTCGTATGCTACATTTTAACATATCTGAAACTTATTCATGATTTATGCTTTCATTGATCTGATAGCCCAACGCGTGGCAGAACTAGGTAAGCCGGAAAATGAGTACCTATTATTACTGATGCATTTGTCTTTCTTCGATATATTCAGACCCATGTTCAATGAATACCTTCTGCGATACAGTTCCTGTGACGCTCTTGTGTCGTCTACGTTAACATCTGTGCCATTAAACACAAACAACTCATAAGGGGTTTCTATGAGTAAACTAACATCTCTGCTTTCAAAAGAATGGTTACCCAACAAAGAATAATCTTTTCGATTACTTCATCATCAGGCTCTACAGCTATATACAAATACATTATAGTGAATGAATGAATTAGTGTTATGAACAACATTAATGTTGTTTAAATAACATCGAATCAATATTAATAGTAATATCAACAGATTACAGTTCACTAGCATCAACATAACAATAAACTGAATATCAGAAAAATTAGGGAAGGTAATAATACAAATTCATAAATTTATAGTCTTCACTAAAGGCCGGACAGGACAGTAATAGTGGCTAGACTTACTTCTTTTGTATACATACAAACCACTGTTTGTTTCACGCCAATCGTAATAGCCTCAGCTGTTTGAAGTATGTGGTACCTGGATGTTTTTGTGTCAATTTGTTTGGTACCAGGCAGATGATAAAGAAGGATTCTTCGATGCCGATTTTTATGGTCGGTTTGGACCACTAATTCGAAATATATTATTATTAAGATAATCAAAGAAGATATGAAGTAGTTACCAGCCCTGGTAATTGCGTAACATGCTAATAGATGTTATTATTATTGTTCCCTTGGGTTTCTAGTGGAAAATAGGGCTTCATCTGCACGTCTCCACTTGCCACTTTTGTCTTCCTTCTGCTGTACTTTTCACCTGCATCCATCTTAGTCCATACTGTTTCAACTCCTCTTCACACCATCTCCTCCATGTCACCCTTGCAATAACGACCCACTCGCCGCTTTGCTTTTGGTCTGGTCCCACTTAAGCAATGGTCTGACGCGCGTGCGATGTCACTCAGTGGCGGCCTCCTCAGCGAGTGTCCAATCCATCCATCTCCACTTTCTCCTCCATATTTGTTGGTTGGCAATTGCTTCTTGTTTTGTTTGTGCGTTCCCATGTTTCTTGTTGTTGGTGATTCTTTCCGGCCCGGCCATCTGATCTCCAGTATACAGCCAGCGAAGATAGTCGTTGATAAAGATCTGGTCTGCAACAGGATGTTGTAAATATTCTTTGTGACCCACCCGCCAAGTTTCTGATCCGTATAGAAGAACTGACTGACTTGACTTTGTTTGTATTGAAAATCCTACCGAATTTTGTTGTTGATGCTGAGTGACGAAGACTGGTTTCCAGATTGGTTTCAGGTTGGTGAATGTGTTTCTCGCCTTCCCGATTCTCTCTCGATTTGATATCCTCATCCGTTCTGACTGCCTGTAGTTGAGACAGTGCTCTCTAGATAAGTGAATGAAGTAACCTCTTTCAAATCCCTCCCGTTGACGGTGATTGAGGCTGGATGTTGCTGCTGTTTAATAGATGTTAAGATAACTTAAATGCACAAAAGTTTTTTCATCGAACTCATACTTCACAGATTGGTTAAACTTTCAATGCAAGAGTACGTATGCAAGTCGTACTAATCGTGTTGAATTTTTTTCGGTTTTGAAATGAAGATTTTGAAAAGTTTATCTGTCTTCAATGTAACACTGAGTAATAATAACATTAAAATATTTTCCTTGTTCCTAATTTAACATTAGAATATGATGTGATGAAATTAAGTAAGTAGTCAGAATCTAATGTAATGTAATATCGTTTGCATTAGACACTCATATTGTCTGATTATTGTCACATATATCCAGTAACAATCATTTGTTTTCATGTGTTGGTTTGTAGGGATTTGATTAATTGGTTACAGGATTTCATCATGAGCTGACAACAGTTAATGATGATGATGATGAAATCCTGTAACCAATCAACCAAATCCCTACAAAACAACATTGAATATCAATGAGATGCTCACTGGCGACTGGCCCTATTCAGGTAGGTAGTTACGTGGGGTTCTAGTGGGAAGTCGTGACCACTAGGGTGCACCAGGTCGGGTGTGAGGACAAATACTCGCCGAAGACATTGGCTAGTGGTCGCGCTACTTCGTGAATTGGCAGAAGTTAGAATTCATGGCCTGGCCATTGGATCGGGGCCCAGTGGCTTAATGGTGGGTGCGTACTGCTGAAGAGTCCCAAACTAGGCTGACGAAACAGCTGTCCAGTACTCCCAGGTAGTTTTCCAGTGGTTCTCTAACTGATGTCAGCTCATGATGAAATCCTGTAAACAATCATCTGCTTTTTTAAGTATGAAAAATTCCCATTTCATGTGATTTAGAACACATTTTCAGTCAGCAGAGAGATCTGTTATTTCGTCAAAAGTTGTACAGTTATTTAGGCGGTTTATGTATATAAATGTACGTTGACGACAACACAAGTCAGAGGTTGTTGTCAATTACTAGCAAAACTACATCAAAGTGCTCCAGTAATAATTATATCTGAAAATTTAGGAGTAGTCTTACGTTAATCTAGAGGGTTGACAATAAATTAAATGAGTAGTGGTGAATAATCTTCAAGAGTTTGTTTGTAGGGGTTTATTTTTTGTTTTTCTAGTTTGACCACAGATTGATATCTATTAGAGAACTATTGAAAACCAGCGAGTATTGGGCAGCTGCTTCGTCCCAATTTGGGTCTCTTCTTCAATACGCATTCAACAGGTTTCGAATGCAGGAGCCTCCTGTTACAAAGCAAGCTCGTAAATAATTCAGTCACTGGGACCCAACTCCTCAATGGACAGCCCATGAAATCGGACTTCTACCAATTCGGGATTTTAGCACAATCAAAAATGTTTCTTGGAACCTCGGAAACCACCTTAAGCAGAATTCTTAACAAGGCAGGCAGAAATAAAAGTGGATGGCATTCAAACCCACAAAATCAATTAGGGACAAACTTTGTCGGTTAGAGGATCTTGCCAGTGGAGCCTTTAGGACAAAACAATCTAATACGCTGTCTGCAATGATTGTTAGGTCAAATACATAGGTCAAACTAGTAAAGCAGGGGCAGTCAGACTAGCCGAACATAAAAACCTAGCAAAATCTATACTGGTTGACCCGAATAAGATAAGAAACCTAGAGAATAGTTCAGCCGTAGATAGCACTAAATGCAATTATTCACAACACAACCATACAGTTGGGTTGATATAAGATGACAATTTTAAAATCTAATGTAACGGCAGGGCGGAGGGAAAGATTTATTACAACAGAAGCTTTGTTTATCGAATCAACTGTGAACACGTTTAGTATGAATGATTCAACACCTGTCCACCCAGATATCTGGAAACTTCTGCCACCCGATCGACGACAAATAGGAGAGAACAAAGAAAACTATAAGACTCAAGTTTCGAAGTCGTGTGATTACAATTGATATGATTATGAACGGTAATAAATTGTGTTCGAAACGTCATCTGGTAAACAATACTGTTTCACTCACTGTGTGATACATCTAATAAACAAACTAATATGTTTCTTGGAACATTTAACATCGGCTAAACTTGAAAAACAAATCAAATCCCTACAAACCAATTCCAGGATGGATTTTCCTAGAGTTCTAGTGAGAAGTTGTGACCAATGGGAACTAGCCTATTGGGAGTAAGGACAAATGCTCACCGCCAATGACATTGGCTGGTGATCTAGCTTAAATCACGAATTGGTAGAAGTAAGAATTCATGGACTTGGCATTGAAAAGTTGGGTCTGAGTGGCTGAATGATCGATGAGCTTGCCTTGTAACCTGCGGGTCCTTGGTTTGAAACCCAGTGTGTGTGTGTGTGTGTACTGCCGATGGGTCCCAAACTACAATGGACGAAACAGCTATCGAGTACTGCGTAGTTTTCAACGGTTCTCTGACCGATGTCAATCCCCTCTCAAACTTGATGAAAATTCGTTTCGA